ATGTCGGAATGGGATAACAATGAGATCCATGCATGGAATTCCCATGAGAGTTGGATGACTCAGATTCATCTACGAAATTCCCACAGGAATGCCCATGTTCCTCAGTTCCACCCTCCCAAATCTCACATTCCCAAATCCCACATTCCCCTGGGAATTCTGTCTCCCTCACCTTTGTGCTCCAGCACCTCCCGCCCATATCCAATGAATTTCCGGAGCCCTTCCGGACAGACGTTTCCCAGGTAATGTGTCCGTCTCTCCATTGTGATCCTGTCAGATTCCCATTTCCTCTTGGTGGACAGGGCAGATCCATCGGCTGCCACGAAGCTCCCGGATCCCAGCTCGAAGGAGATGAAATCCCACCCGTTGTAGCCGAGCCGGCTGGATCCACGGATGCTCCCGTCGGACAGGAGGTCACAGCCATGAATCCGGTGCAGCGTGTGGAGACCTGGGGGGTGAGATAAGACCCACAGAGACCCCTGGAATTGTATCCCAGCCCCACAGAGCCCCATTCCAGCCCTATGGAGCCCCAGGGTCCAATAAAGACATACAGAGCCTCATCCCAGTCCCTTGGAGTGCCCTGGATCGCCATCCCAGCCCCACACATCCCATCCCAACCCCACACATCCCATCCCAGCCCCACACATCCCGTCCCAGCCCTTCACATCCCATCTCAGCCCCACACATCCCCCCATTCCCCAGCTCCCCCCACTCACCCCCACTCCAGTTGTACCGGGCCCCCACTCTCTCCAGGTTGTTGGCATCAATGAGCCGGTTCCTCTCATTGATCTGGGTCTGTCTATCCCAATATTCTGGCTCAGGTCCAGCCGCCATCCATGGTGTCAGCGGCTCTGTCTGGCCCCGCTCGCTGTCGTAGCGTGTGATGGGGATCCCGTCCACGTATCCCAACACCAGGTATTGAGGGATCCCCGGGCTGGGCTCCGTCACTGCCACATGCAGGTAACGCAGGGAGTGGAGAACTGGGGGGACACGGAGATTTGGGGGGCCCAGGGGGGGTCATGGGTCAAGGAAAGGGGGAACTGGGAGAGCTGGGAGAGCCAAGAAGGGGATTTGGAGATCCCAGGACCAAGAAAAGGAGGATGTAGGGCCTGGGAGAGGTGGGATGGGGCATTCAGGGGTCCCTGTGCCCAGGAAAGGGGGGCCTGGGGAGCCCCAGTGTTGGGGAAAGAGGGGTCATGGGGTAAGGAGACCCAGAATGGCCGGGAAAGGGGGTGCAGGGGGGTCATGGTGCAGGATAAGGGGGTGCAGGGGGGTCTTGTGCACAGGAATGGAGGTTCAGGGGGGTCTTACTGCCACATAGAGGGGTGTAGGAGGGTCCCATGTGCAGGAATAGGGGTTCAGGGGGGTCCCAGTTCCCAATAAGGGCATGCAGGGCATCCCAGTCAGAGAGAAGGGGGCTCAGGGGTGCACAGGGGTCCCCATTCCCAGGAATGGAGGTTCAGAGGGGTCCCGTGGTCAGGGGAAGGGGGATGAGGCCACTGGGAGAGGAGGGATGGAGGTTCAGGGGTTCCCTGTGCCCAGGGGAAAAAGGAGTCCAGGGATACCCAGTGTTGAGGAAAGTGGTGTCTGGGGACTGAGAAAGGCAGTAATGGGGGTCCAGAGGGTCCCAGGGTCATAGAAAAGGGAGGATCAGGGGGCTGGGAGAGGCAGGATCACCAGGAAAAGGGGCACAGGGAGGTATTTGTTGAGGATAAGGGGGTTCAGAGGTGTCCTGGAGCTGGGTATTGGGATGCAGGGAGCCATGGTGTAGGATAAGGGCGTTCAGGGAGGTCTCAGTGCCAGGAATGAGAGTCCAGGGATGTCCCTGTGATGGATTAGGGGGTGCAGGGGGATTCCTATGCCAGGAATGAGGGTCCAGGGGGTTCCCATACCCGGAAATGGGGGTTCAGGGGGGGTTTGTGTCCAAAAAGGTGGTTTAGAGGGTCCCAACTCTGTGGGATGGGGTGCAGGGGGGGTCCAAGTGCCCGGGAATGGATGTGGGGGGGATTCCCATACCTGGGAATGGGGGTTCAGGGGCGTCTCAGTGGCCAGGAATGGGGGTTCAGTGGGGTCCAAGTGCACAAAAATGGAGGTTCAGGGGGGTCTCGTTGCCCAGGAATGGAAATTGGGGGGTTCCGGAGCCTCATAAGAAGATTTCCGGGGGTCCTGGTGTGGAGGGAGAGGGTCCGGAGGGGTTCCCGTGCCCAGGAATGGGTGTTCAGGGGGTCTCGATGCCCAGGAATGGAATCTGGGGGGTTTCGGTTCCGGATAAGAAGGTTTAAGGGGGTCCCGGTGCAGAGGGAGAGGCTGCAGGGAGTCCCGGTGCCCGGAAATGGAAGTTCAGAGGGGTCTCGGTGCCCGGGAATGGGTGTTCAGGGGGGTTTCCTTCCGGGAATGGGGCTCAGGGGGTGCCCGTGCCCAGCAATGGGGGTTCAGGGGGTCCCGGTGCTGAGGGAGAGGGTGCGGGGGGGTCCCGGTGCCCGGCAATGGAGGTTCAGGGAAGTACCGGGGCCCGGCAATCCAAGTGGCCGAGTTGCCCGTTGCGGGGGTCCCACTCACCCTTGGGCTGCCCCCCCGAGCCCCCCGGCAGCGCCAGGAGCGCCAGGAGCGCCCCCAGCCCCAGCGCTGGAGCCATCGCGCTGCTCCGCTGGCCCCGCTTGGCCCCCGCAGTTTGGGAGATGGAAAGCGAAAGTGGCCGAGGGAG